TGCATAGTTAATATTTTCTGAATAAAATTATTTCCTTTTGCTGTATGTAAATGTTTTTCTTCCTGTGGAAAAGTTGAATCCATGTAACACCATATATCTGTGCATGAATTCTTTTCATGGAAAGAGATAACTGCACTTTCATTTATCTGTTTTAGAGCATCAGAACTAGATTGCTTGATTTTTTCCTCGCCATTTTACTGATGACAGACAAGCACAACTATGAAACATACTGAAATGGGAAACATAGCCATTGTTTTATCCTTTGTTTCTACAAAGTTTCAAAAATCAGATGTTTTTACGGCGACTGCATCTCAACCAGATTTCATCACAATGCTGGAAACTAGTTTCTTATTTGCTTTCTGCTTCCGGAAAGTTTTGGACATGATCTTAACATGTTACAGTTATTAATTCCATGGATTAATTCAAGATATTGGGAATAAATTGTGATACTTTTATAATCCAATCTGTTTTTAATATTAAGGAAACTGACACACATTAAAATTGTTATGCCCATAGTCTAGTACTGTATGTATTTCTTTCCTTCTGCCGAGTCAAACGCAGTCCTATTCTGTAAAATTTGTGCTATTCAGAGTTCTTATCAAGTGAGAAAAAAATAGTCCCCTCGTTAATTTTTCCTTTTGCTTTCAGGAGGAGCCCATCCCTAGTTAACATTGCAAAGTTTTCACTTGCAACATGGGATGCTTCACAGTGTTGAAGAGTAAGAAGAAGAAATCTGATCGTACCTGTTACATTAGACATGTGAACCCACTGGAGCATTCACCATCTGCTTTGCCTGAACCCCCAAACCGTACACGTTCTCTGCAATCTGCACCACCGAGCTTCAATACCAGAGTCAAACCTATACAATCAAATGGCGGTGGGGTGAGCAGTAGCAGAATACGAGCATTATCGGCCCCATCAAGTCTAGATGCTGCCGAACAAGACGAACTTTCATCTGCCGAATTAGAGGATAATGAAGAACCGAGAAGTCGGATTGGGTCTACAAAAGAATATAATAATTCACCGACTCCTCAGCCTCTTCCCCTCCCATCACCGTCACCCCGTGGTGCTAATGCTCTTAAGGCCATGGCAAGCTTTAAAATGATGAATGGCAGTGACCCTGTTAATATCTCCGGGCCCCTTCCCCTGCCACCTGCTTCACATATGGCTCTCATGGCTAAAGGGACACTTCCCAATTTTTCCTATGAAGAACTTGCATCGGCATGTGGTAATTTTTCTCCTGAGAGATGTATGTCTGAAGGTTTATCTTCTGTCATATACCGAGCTTCTTTTGTGGAGGATGCATCTGGATTGAAGAAGCTTGAAGCCACGGTGACTCGTCTTCACCCTTGCAACCAGGTATTGTTAGGATTTCTGGTGTCTCAGATATTTGATTGATTGTTTTTTGGGGAAAATATAATACAATTAAAGGGTATATCCAGATGGTTAATGTAATCTTAATGATCCTGTCGTAGATTTAGCTGGGTTGGAGCTTCCAAATTTATGTGAAGCCTTTTTTTAACATCCCTCGCATTTCTTTTAAATTTATTGTGATTTTACAGGGTTTCAAGGAATTTGTGAATGATGTAAATACACTAGCATCTTTGCAACACCCCAACCTCTGTAAATTAATTGGATATCATGTACGTGAAGGCTCAGACCTTAGGATGTTGGTTTATGAGAGGCTATTTCATGGGAGTCTGGATCGGCTTTTATATGGACGATCAGATGGGCCACCACTCGACTGGAATAGCAGAATGAAAGTTGCGCTGTGTGCCGCACAAGGTCTTACCTTTCTGCATGAGGAGGGACCTTTTCAGGTAATTAAAATCATATGTCGGCCAATATATGAACCAGAATTTGCTACGGTCTGAGTATGCTTTGTAACCAGTCCACAAGGTCCTCCTATTATCAATTGGACATGGATTTGGCTTTCGTTTTATTACTTTATAGAGTAAAAAAAATTGTGCTGTTACTTGTGTACAGGCAATGTTCCATGATTTCTCGACTGCGAATATACAGATTGACAAGGATTTTAGTGCAAAGCTTTCTGGGTATGGCTGCATTAACCATATTCCTGAAGCAGATGTTTCCAGCAGCTCAGTTGTAAGTTCTTTTATCTACTATTTCTGGAGTTGAGTGTTTTTTTTCTTTTAATTATTTTCAATAAACAAGTTGTTACTTAAAAAAATCACACAATATCTATATTTTCAGGCTGTGGCAAATCTTTCGGTGGAGACTCTTGAAAAGGGCTTATTAACCCCAAAGAGCAACGTGTGGAGTTTCGGGATAATGCTTCTCGAATTGCTCACAGGTAGGAAAAACCTCGACAGCCGTCACTCGAAGGAAGAGAGGAATCTAGTGAAGTGGAGTCGGCCTTTTCTGGCAGACGATTGCAGGCTGACACTCATCATGGACCCTCAGCTGAAGGGCCGTTTTCCAGCCAGAGCCGCCAGGACTGTGGCCGATATAGCCCAACGCTGTCTCCAGGTGGACCCCTCCGAAAGGCCCACAATGAGGTTCATCGTTGACCAACTTAAGACCATACAGGACATCAAGTGCACGTCCCGGTTTCCTTTACAGGAGCCAGGGGCAATTGGTGGGAAACAAATGTTCAAATCACCTAGTTTTAATGGGATTGTGCACAAGGCCACAAAATCCAATCTTTCTCCTTCTCCTCCTCTGCCAAATAGGCCTAAGGTTATTACACCTTTATACCGGCTGCCGTTGGTCCTTCCGCCTAGGATGAGTTCATCTACGTTTTTACTGGAGGAAAGTGATATGCAGGAAAACCGTAGGTTATCGTCCTCTAACGTACGTAGGTCGAACGTGTTAGATTTTGATAGTTCGTAGAGTGCGGTTTTTGAAGCTTTTTTTTTTTTCCCCTTCTTTCTTAACTTGATGAAATGAGTTTCTCACATAGAAGATAGAGATGATTTTCACCAACTGGGTATGTTTTATTGTATATAGAGTCCACCTTTTTTTTCGGGAGTTGGCTGGTTTACACTGCTCGGGCGCCTCCATCTGCTAATATGTTTTATATTTGATGACGTGTAATATATAAATATATACAGCTGATAGTGTCTTCCAAGTGTTTATACGCTTGTGTGATGAAAAAGAGTGCAACCGTTATGGATGTAGAGTTACCGAAAGGAATGAAATTAAGCACGTGCATAGATCTAACGGCTAAAATCACTATCCAGGGGGTGAAATCAACCCCAAGGCCCGGCCCGTAAACCCTTTAATCCTACCCATTTTCTTCATTAAAATTTAAAGCCGAAATTGAACCATAAATGGAAGGAAAGCGGAAAATCAAATAAAAAAAAAATTGTTGTTTTTCCCCTTATTCAAGCTTAGTGGGTGGGCTCTGCTCCGGAGACGACTTGAACCATCGGATTCCGGCCATGGTGGGAATCTATGCTTTCAAATGCTCGTGTTTCCGGGCATCATTTTTATCTGAATCCTACATTTCAAGTCCATTTCAAGTCCTGTGGATTAAATTTACAACCCCATTCTCAACTTTCCGATAGTCACCATTTAAATTTGATAATTTTTTTTTACCAATTTATGACGATTTGAATCTTATTATTCAATGTTACTTAACTAACGTGCTCATATTTATTATAGCACGTACTATTTGAATTCAAAATCTAGGGATTTATTTTCACAATGACTACGAAGACAAGTCAACCTTGTTGATATGCACCTAACTCAATCCCAACAAACGGAGGCTAAAATTAAAGAGCCAAGTGCCCGTGTGGTTGGCAATAGATTATTAGATTGGCCATTTGGCTCATTCCCCAAATCTTGGTTAGGAGAACCTCAAAATAAAAGTTCAATAGTCATTAATGGGTCCCCTCATAATTATCACAAAATTAATTTAGTTAGCATGTACCTTGAATAAGAATGGCCATACATGACTATCACAAAATTAAGAATGGCCATACATGACCATCCAATATGCTAAGAACAAAGGCCTAACTAATTAATGATAAAAGATCAAACGAATTCAAATTCAAGCCCTTTGAGATTTGCAAAATGTTTTCAAGAACGTTGGGTCCTTGGCATTGATCCCCACATCTTTGACTGCCCCCTTACTACCAAGGATTGGGCTCAGCAGCTTCTTGAACACTTTCTGAAAGCCCGACCCAAGCCCGCGCCTTCCGGGCCTTGCCGCCTGTTTGGGCGGCGGCCGAAGACTCATTGCCGCCGGCTCTGAGAAGCTCCGGCCAAGCATGGCTTGGTTTAGCTGCACCTCGAATGAGAGCCGCTCGTATTTGTCGAACAATGTGCTCTGCTCGTCTCCGAATGCTTTGAAGATTGATGCCACGTCATCCATCGTCTCCATTTCCGAAAGCAAACTCTGAATGCCCATTTGCATTGAAAGGAAAAACGGTTAATAGGAAAGAACAAAAACAAGTGAAAAAAAATGGCTATGTAAAAATGGGTGACAATTGAATTTTTGACATATGTTTTTGAATGATGGCAAATATTAACTATTGTAGGTGGCAATTTATAGTGAATGGACTTATTAGTGTTCAAATTATATATGCAAAGGTCGTTGTGGTATTAAATATTTTCGTCCAAATTTTGTTTGATTTTCAAAAATCTTATTACATAGGTAAGTTCACAAATTGTTTTCTTCATTAGCTGGCTCTTAAATGAATA